TGTAACATAAATACTCGTGTAAAATAAGTACTCGTGTAACATAAGTACTCGTGTAACATAAATACTCGTGTAAAATAAGTACTCGTGTAACATAACGTTAAAGCGTTCCCTTCATGTCCAACTGCAGCTCTGTTGCTAGGTGACAGCAATAAGGGCGATGATGATGTCACAGAAATACTGTGTGGACCAGACGTCTCGTCGGTTGGGACGACCCTGAGCTGAGACTCAGCTGTTACGTCTCTGCCCAGCGTCTTTAAAGATGGACGACACGTCTCCACTTCCTCCCACTGAACAAAATGAAACCAGAATGTCTGAGACACAAGCGCCGCCATCTTGTGCTCAGTTGTGATGACAGAGTTCTAGTCTCAGCTGACGTCAGAGTCCGAACAGTGTTTTCATCTTCTGGCTTCTTTGCTCTGCTCCGCACAGGCTGAGGCGGAGGTGGCGTCTCTAAACAGACGTATCCAGCTGGTGGAGGAGGAGTTGGACCGCGCTCAGGAGAGACTGGCCACCGCTCTGCAGAAACTGGAGGAGGCTGAGAAAGCTGCAGACGAGAGCGAGAGGTGAGGAACTCGCCCACTGAACATCTGACAAACAACAACAAACAAAAACTCAACCAATTGTCCCGCGTCAATCACTTTGTCGAGCTCTGGTTCGTCAGATCGCAGGAAACCACAGAAATCTGACAAATGACAGCAGCTCAGATGATGAGACGCAGCAGTAAAGACAAAACACAGTTTGTTCTTGAATAAACCTCCAGTGAGAGAACATAAAATAAATCCACCTAAGTTACATGAAGATTGCACTTAAGTACAGTAACAAAGTAAATCATAGTTCCATGGCCCCAGTGTTCACTGCTCTCTCCTGCGTTCAGAGGGATGAAGGTCATCGAGAACAGAGCGTCCAAAGACGAGGAGAAAATGGAGATCCAGGAGATGCAGCTGAAAGAGGCCAAACACATCGCTGAGGAGGCCGACCGCAAATATGAGGAGGTGAGAGTGTTCCGCCGACGTCTTCGAAGTACAAAGTAATACACAGTACACAGACTTTACACTGGTCGTTAGTTTACACTGTAAAACGGATGTAATCAAATACAACATGTGACACACGCACAATAACTTCAGGTTATTTCAAAATGATTAAAAATAATTTTGAAAAGCATCAATTATTTCTGTATATTTGTTCAATTAAATTCTGAGACTTTCTACAGATGCAGAGAATTAAAGTTTTATAAGATTTATAAAAACAACCGATGTGAGTCTTTCACAGACGTTTGTGTTTATGTTTTCTGCAGAAAAGACTTTTTACTTTTAACAAAAGTTACTCACAAAACTTATTTTCTCAATTTAAATTCTCTATATTTGTGTTTTCTTTTCATTTATAATAAAGTTTAAGATAAGATGAAATCAGATCAACAGAATGAAAACTACAAAAAAAAGACACACATCTACATAATAAACAGAATTCACGACAGAATGTTCAGTGTCCTGCGTCAGTAAAGTTCAGTGGTAGATGACCATTGCATGAGAATGTAAAAGCATCAGGTGAACAGCTAATGTGCTGAAGATGTGTTCAAAGAAAGTAACGACATCTTAGGAATCATTGACAATTTAAAAAACATGTGTTGGCCAATATATCTTTTTAGAAAATGTTTTAGTTCTTATCGTTGGGACTCTACACATGATCTCTGTAAACTCGTGCTCTGTGGACGAGTGTCTGAGTCTGAGCTGAACGTCCGCAGGTGGCACGTAAGCTGGTGATCCTGGAGGGCGACCTGGAGCGTTCAGAGGAGCGCGCTGAGGTGGCGGAGGCGTAAGTCAACACCACGAAACTCACACTGAGCCACTGTGCATTATTCATGATGTCAGAGTAGAGGTCACCTGATCGCTACCATGACAACGTGATGCTGCACGTGCTCTGGTCATTGATGCATTTCATGATTAACGTTTTACATTAGTGGTTGTTGCTGCACTTTTAACATTATTATTATGTTATTATTGTCATTAATCTACTGATCAATCATCTGATTAATCGTTGTCACAAGTTCCCAGAGTCAAATATTTCATTCTGTCCGACGACTAAAATAAAGATGCTGGAATGTTCCATTTGTTCTTCTTAAAGAAACGATTAATCAGTGAGGTCGAGTGATCGATTAGCCACCTGACGGTTGAGTGTGTCACAAGCTGCAGGACACAGACGTGTGTTGTTGTGTTCTCTCCTGTGTGTGTTTATCTAATGCATGTCTGAAACGCCCGCATGACTCCCCTCCCACCTCCTCACCCCGACCTCCCGGACTAACCCTGCAGACGAGCGAGGGAGCTGGAGGAGGAGCTCCGACTAATGGACCAGAATATGAAGTCCATGATGTGCGGAGAGGAAGAGGTACTGAAACTCCACCAGGTCTCAAACGTGACCCGCTGCCTTCTGCTCCTCTGACCTGCCGCCTCTAAACTCCTCCCTCTGTCTCCTGTCTAACCTGCACTCACCTGTGACTCTGTCCGGGACACGTTAAAGGACAGGTCAGGTGATATTCTGCGTTTTCTTGTCAACGAATCAGATGCAAGGCACACACTGCAAAAAGAGAAAACTCACAAATTCAAGGAAGCCCAGGACGGTAGATTTGTATATTTTGAGTTTATTTAGTCCGACACATGTAAAAATCAAAGTGAAGTTTATAGGTTTATATGATTATGAAAGATAAATAAATCAAAAAAGAGAAGAAATCTGCACAGCTTTTCTGAAACGTTGAGTTTTATTACGTTTATTAAGTCAAAACGAGACTAGTGAGTTTCTGCGGTTCCACAAACCTGAACTCGTCTTTTCCTTCGAGTTTGATCGTCACTGACCGACAGTCGCTCCCTCGTCTTACTGATGACACTTAAGAGGCGGAGACTGTGGCTGATGCTCCTCTGATTGGTCACTTTGAACACTCCAGTCCAGAGCCGCTCTCTGACCTTCCAACCTTCTACACCTCATTTCTCTGTAGCAGCTACAACCCTCATGGATCATCTCTCATCTTAAATGAGACTCTTTAAGATTCATGTCGTCAGCAGCAACTGATGAGTTTGTGTCTGAGTCACGGACGAAGCAGGGACGTCACAAAGTGAGATGAGATTCATTGACAAGAAGAAAAATACAGAATAAAATCTGACTTATACTTTAATTTGATCAAGTTTATTTTAAGTTACCTTTTAAAAACCTGGTATAACTCTTGTTCTCTCTCGTTCTCAGAGTCAGATGTACATGATCGTCTCTGAGACGGAGAACCAGAGACTTGATATTAGAACCGCCGGTTCAGTCAGTGTCAGGCTTTGTTCTCTTCTGCTGTTCTTTCAAATCGCTGCTCTTTCTCCTCTCGCTTCTTTCTCTCTTCCTGACGCTGCTCAGTAAATCAGGCGACCTTGAGGAAGAGTTGAAAAATGTCACCAACAACTTGAAGTCACTGGAAGCCCAAGCTGAGAAGGTACAGTGGGAGCCGAGGGCGTTCGGCCTCGGGCCCGAACAGTCAGACTGTGAATATGTATAAATATATATATATGGAGGAAATATACACGGTTCATATTTTATAGTGACTGAAAGAAACATGAGGAAAAGCAAGAGAAATAACTGTGTCACAAACTTTATCCTACTTGTCTTTCTAAATAGGAGTCAAATATTCCCCAGCGGTGGATTCACCATGCATGTAAAGTTTCTGGTTAATTCTTCAGTTGTATCAAGTTCAACTCTTTTCTTTGGTTTTCAGTACTCGCAAAAGGAGGATAAATACGAAGAAGAAATTAAAGTTCTTACTGACAAACTGAAAGAGGTGAGGGTTTGGTTATTTCGTCCTCTCACACATGAACCACCTGAAGCGAGCGGCAGCAGCAACTCGTGTCTCGCTGATGTTTCTGTGGCGGTTTGTGTTCCAGGCTGAGACTCGTGCAGAATTTGCAGAGAGATCTGTGGCCAAGCTGGAGAAGACCATCGACGATCTGGAAGGTATTTAAACACTCGGCTGTTTCCTCTGCTCCTCCTGACGCCAGTAACACGTCTGCTCGCCGTCCTGCTGTGAATCATGTTGAACTACTAATTCCTACTGATGATGTCTGACAGGAAAGAGAGGCTGTGTGACGGCTCAGGGTCAAGTTGTGCAGGGAGAGAAGTTCGATGTGTTAATACCTGAGCTGAGCGTCCAGTGAAAACCTAGAAGTCATGAAGATGATCTCACTCTCTCACGTGGAAAACATTCAAACAGTTCCACATATCATTGACAAACAAATAAATAAATCCCGTGTTCCTGCTGAACATCAGGTCAGACGCACATTCACTGGCTGTTCAGCCACGTGTTCATACACATGTGTCAGTGAAACTGTTCCTGAATCAGCTCCTGCGATTCTGTCTCAGCACATACAGAAGACACTGACATGTGCCCGCAAGACAAACAGGGACATGAAGGGAGAACAGGTCGACATCATGCAGATGCTTTATCTCTCTTATCTTTATCTTTATCTGAGCGTGTGTGTGTGTGTGTGTGTGTGTGTGTGTGTGTGTCTCAGTCCTTACCTTCTGCACCAGCTCTTTCTAACACGTATGTTTGAAATGTTTGTGTAGAACTGATCAGATTTTATTGAAACGTCCGTCAGACTTGATCCGATTTCATTAACAGTCAAAGCTTCGATCCGTCGTCTCTGGGGCTTCGTGTGTTTGAACCCAGACGCGGTGGGAGCGTGATCAGTGTTCACGCGTGTTCACGCGTGTTCACTGCGTGTGTCAGGGATCAGCTCCCAGTGCAGGTGTGACAGTTACCTGAGGTCACTCCCATCAGAGCTGGTCTGGGACCACATGTTTAAGCTTTGTGAACTCGAGCCCAACACATGTTCGGGGCTGATGATGAACATGAATCAATATTATTGAGTTTTGATATTTTACAGTTCAACCATTAATGTTATTATAAATAAAATGAAAAGAAAAGAAAACACAAATCCATGTTCACTGCAGGTGTGAACAGGGTCCGAGCTCCAGATGCTTCTTCTAGTTGATCTGACGGAACGAGCTGCATGAAGTGACGCCATTTATTACAGATGAACATTTTCCTTCTGTTTTTCTGAACCCTGTCTCTTTGCTGCTCCATCCCTTGTGTCTCTATCTGTGTGTGTGTGTCCTCCTGCAGATGAAGTGTACGCTCAGAAGCTGAAGGGTAAAGCTCTCAGTGAGGAGCTGGACTTGGCCCTGAACGACATGACCACACTGTAGACGCTCTCTCTCTTCCCCTCTGCTCTTCCTTCCTGTCTGAACTCGTGTCCGCTGCTCCCCGCTGTTCTGTTCCGTCTAGAAGGTTCTAGAAAAGTGGCCTGAACCCGCCGGCCCGTCAGTGCCTGTGTCGCACGGCGCTGCTCTGAACTGAGGGTTGAGTCTCTGCTGTGTGTCTGTTGGTGAACGTTGTCTCTTTACTGAAATGTTTCCCTCGTCCTCTGTAATAAACAGATTCAAGCTCTTGTCTGTCTCCTTCCACTTTTACTTCCTCTCTCTTTGTTTCCTTCCTCTGTTTATAAATGTATAAGCTGTGTCTGAATAATAAGCAGCTTCTTTTTACTGCATCATGAAGACAGATAGAGATGAGCAGCTATAAATCTGGTGCTTGATATTGAAGTAAGCCGCTGATGAGATCAACAAAAAGACTGAGCACATTTTTCTATAACTCCACCAACAGTGTTCCTGAGGTTGTCAGTGATTTATCTAAAGAGTAAAGGTCTGTATGTTCCCAGCTGAGGTCTGGTGTTGGATTGTTTCTCAGTCTGGAAGGAGAAGAGTGGATTTGCTCAGTGTGTCATCTGAGTGACGATAAAATGAATCTTTCCTTTTCTCTGGAAACAGAGAAATACTTTGGAGATTCAATTCAGTTTTATTTGAACAGCACCAAATCATAATATCCTTGACCTCAAGGCTCCTCACATAGAAGTTGGAGACCTTAAAAGTGATGGAGGAACCAACAGTTCCCACAATGAGCCTGGAAAAACTCGTTATAAGTTATAAAAGTGATGAACACGTGTTCTTTGCTTCTGAGGTTGAAGTGTCCTACACTGTAACACTCCTCAATGAAGATCTGCTCTAAGGTTGTAGAACAACTGCTTAAGAAACTCTCACTCTAACATTTTAAAGCTGGTCAACAACATGATTTAAAATCTCTGTAGTTCATCAGATCCTGCAATTAAATTCTGCCTCTTATGGATGGAAGGTGAATCCTTGTTGTAATAAATCAAATATAATCAGTCAAATCAATCAAATCCAACTGTAGTGGGACAACACTCACTCACAGTGAAGTTGATCCAGGTAAAGCTCATAGTGATCACCGTGTAGAATCAGACGTTTCTCCTGTGACTGTGGTTCTTTTCTCCAGAGAAACTGGCCCAGGCCAAAGAGGAGAACCTGGACATGCACCAGGTTCTGGACCAAACTCTTCTGGAGCTCAACAACCTATAAAGACCTTTGCAGAGCTGACAGAAGAATCACCGCAACGATTAATCAAGATCAAGAAATGGTTTCATTAGCTCCCAGCAGACACACTTAACATTCATTAAAACAATGAAAATGAAGATTGATGTTCAGTTGTTGCAGAGCCTGTAGCTGAGAACACACTCGTTACTTCTTTACTTTTACTCCATTTCTCCAACAAAATGAATGTGTTCAAAAAATGTGATGTTTTGTTTGCTTGTATTTTAAAGTTATCTTCAGCTGATCCTGCCGGCCCCTCCCTAACGTGATGTGACCATAGACTGTAAATAAAGATGGATGACTTCCTCCAGTTGTGCAAAAGTGAAGCTAAAATATCTCTGATGCATTTTTGACATAATTTGCATTCAGAGTCTGAGCAGCAGTGATCGTGGAGGGGAGCTGTGGTATCAAGGTCCCGCCCATATATGCTCTTTACCAATCCTGAGTCAGTGTCAGCTGTCAATCATGACGTCTCCGCCTGTTTTTCATCAATAACTAATTAAACCAAACTGATGAGAAACACTTGAACAAACATCAGAGAGAGAAGAACGAGCTGAAGTGACAGAAACATCTTTACAAACATCTTTCTTTGATTCTTTAGTTTGGTTCATGTCCCATCTGTGAACATGGAGGAGGAGAGGTTTGTGACCTGTACTGCAGCCAGACACCAGGGGGCGATCCAGATCATGTCGTCAATCTTTCTTTACATTCTGAGGACGTAACAGACTTCGTTCCTGTCTGTGTTTCTGAACAGTTTTTATCTTCTTGTTTCTACCAGAAGATAAACACTGAAGAGAGTTGTCACCATGGCGACGGCAGATCAGGGAACACTCATTCATATCTGTTGGTTCCAGCAGGTTTTGGGCATGTCAGATCAAAACGCTCTTATTTTGAAAGGCAATAACAAAACGTGTATCAAATGTATGATTTGTGTATCAGCCACTTTACTGAGAATCATTTGATTTTATGAAGAACAGCATTTAATATCAATTATAAGTGTGGGACTGATTTTCCAGGTTAAAACATGAAAGTAATAAAGTGCTGGGAGCTGATTTCAAAGGCTTTATATGTTGTAAAAAAACGAAATAAAAAAGAGCCTTCACATCATAATTCTAAGATGAAGTTTTACTTTTCTCTGAGTGTGGAACATACAACACTTCACCAACACAAAGCATCTACAGCAGTGATGTCTCTGAAAGCAGATTATTGATCTGAGATGAGAAGATTGTTTCTGTATTTGAAAAGTATCTCTGGATAAAAGCCATAAGTCTGAACGTGTGACCCTCATTAGAGGTGAGGAGATCTCAGCACAGAGAGAGGAAGTAACTTTGCTCTTTCACTTCCTCTCTTTGTGTTTAGATTTCAGCTTCAGGATGACGAGCAGAGACGTTCACTGGAGAACAGAAGCACTTCAACACTTTTACATCATCACAACTTCACTTTGTATTTGTGTTAGTTTGCAGTAAAGGAGTGAACCAGAAATCCTCTGTTTAGAACTGAGCGTTGGATCCAATACACTAAGAAAGGTGAGGAGTCTGAGAGCATCAAATCAGTTTCAATAAGAATAATGTTCT